TAATAATAATAATAATAATAATAATAATAATAACAAATATTAATAGTAACTGCAGTAGAGACATTGAACTATCTGTTTGCATGAGGCCATATTATTTAGGTTGGGAGTTTTTATATGTTTTTATTTATTATTGTGATAACTGCGTATGTGCCCTCCTCAACTAATGCTGCGGCAGCCTGCTGTGTCCACACAGGCAGACTCCAAGCACAGACCCACAGGTCCTCTTTCTGACCTCCCAGGATTGGAGTTGTGTCTCTCTGTCCTTCACTCTCCCCACCTTCACTCAGTATGTCACCTGGTACACCAGAAACAATAAAACACTGGGCTTATGTACACCAACACCAAGATATAGACAAGGTATGGACATATCACTCCATGGGGTGTTCATATCACAACCTAGTTCATCAGCAGCCTGTGTACACAGAGAACCAGCTGTGACATGCACGGTGAAGACATGGTTCAAGGACCCTGAAGACGCTCTGAGGAACTGTTTATGTCCCACTGTGTGTAAAGAGCTCTGAGCTCTTCAAGAAGAGGATGATAGCATTGTAGTTCACCCATTCTCCCTTCTGTGCAACACCCAGGTCTGTTTGCCAAATATGGGACCAAACCAAAACCCCTCAGTGTCATTACCTTGAGAAATAATGAGTTTCTGTTAATTATAAACAGGCTTTAATGTTGAAAATGATCAAATGTTACAAGCCATAAAAATGGAACAGATGCAAGGTGAATTTCACCATCCAGTGCTGGACTCCACTCACCTTAAGGGCGACAGCAAGATTGCACCAAAGATTGTAGCGCGAGTTCTGTTTTTACCTTCTCCTCATTCTGCTCCCTCTCTGAGGCTGTTGGTCTGCTTAATCAGGTTTTGTTTATGCAACAGAGTCAAGGTTTCTTTTTCAATGGTGGAATAATTCAGTTGGTTTTGTGAAACCAGAACCCTGTAATAAGAGTACTGTTTGTGATGACAAATTGCCTGATCCTTGTTTTGAACCATTCATTTTTTGATGGTCTCACTGACAATGATAACTAATCGCTCTTTAAAGTAAGCACGCATCCTAAGAGACACTGGAGGTTCTGAGTCGGTCATTCTCTGAATGTCTTACCTTTCTCACATGAGAGTGGACGTGATTTCAACTCTGTTCTGAGAGGGATAGAGATGATCAGTCCACAGAGTTTACATAAAATCAAAACTGAAGCCAGTAGACAAGATTGTTTCCTGTTGCTGTCTACCCAGATTTACCCATAGATGGTTTGGCTATACTAATTGGAAATGACATTTCTAGAAATTTAGTACTTCAAAATCAGTGACTGACACCAGTCTTATATACTTCTGTCAGACTGCTCCAGAGCAGCTGTAGCTACTGTCCAGTAGTTTGCCTCCATCACCATGTCAGTGTGTGAATGGGTGAATGATTGTGAAGCGCTTTGGGGTCCTCTGGAGTTGATAAAGTTGATAAAGTAAAGAACAAAGCCATTTACCATATGTTATGGTTACGTAAGCATGCAGCACTGTGCATGTGAGCAGATAAAAGAGACAGAGGAAAGACACAGAATCACATGTATACATAACAGCATCATGGACTGCACTAACTTCTTTGAGGACAACACTGTCCATTAGTAAGGCACATTGTTTCTCCAAAACAAGCCCTGGATAAATCCTGAAATAAAGGAATTAGAAGATGGCATTTAGATCAGGAAACAAAGAAGAGCTGAGAGCTGTGCTGAAAAAACCTAGAAAACAAAGAAAGAAGCTCCAAAAGCATCTTTGGGGCTTGGAAGAACCACAAACTACCAGCTGCAGGAAACTTGGGTGGAAGAACAACCTAAGGCATTACGTCTGCAGGTTTGACTAGTCATCCCTCACTTTGTGCCCTGATACCAGATGACCACATCTTCATCGAGATGAGCTATACTGGACTCTAAAAGAATACCTGGGTGTTCACCTGAACAATAGACTGAACTGCACTCACTTATGTTCTTTAGGCAGGTGAGATCATTTGCAATGCAGGTTGAGATTCTGAATACCTGTTTTCACTCGGTAGTGGAGTGAGCTGATTACTTAAAGCAATGAATTAATCTGTTTTGTCAGTGCCTTGGTAAGATGTGTGCTATAAAATAATTTGAATTGAATTAACCTGGCAAATGTGATGAAGCAAATTTTGTCGTATTATGTAATCCACCATGTAGCAGAAAACAGATTTCTTATTAGATATGAAGATAAAGCTTTGTATATGAATACAAGTTTGATACTATCAACAGATGTTAAATCAAAGAACAAGAATTGGAAATGTTCTGGATGTTTTGAATCATATATAGTTTTCTTTCTTCTGTTTGTGTTGGTCTTACATATTAAATTCCAGTTTAATATATTTATGCTTGTTGTAATGTTGCAAAACATAGAAAAGTTCAAGGGGTATGATGAATACTTTTTGAAATCAACTGTATTTACTTTGGAACTAAACATTTAGTTTTGAACCAAAAATTTAGTTTGAAAACTAAATATTTAAGGGCTGCCCAGTGGTGCAGTTGGTAGCACTGTTGCCTTGCAGCAAGAAGGTTCTGGGTTCAAGTCCTGGCCCAGGGTCTTTCTGCATGGAGTTTGCTTTACGATATGCTAGATAAATCAAAATATTTCTGTTAATTTTTAACTGTAACTTTACAAATGGCACCTCATAATCCCGCACTAAGCAACAATGAACGGTTTATTCTCTACTGAAAGTCTTAGAAAACAGTAAATACCTTTATCGTAGTTTCTGGAAGGTTGAGTGCTGCAGCCAGTTCGCACCGCCGAGCCCGGGACACATAACTCTCATTGCGGTACTCCTGCTCCAGTCGGGACACCTGATTCCGTGTGAAGGCCGTCCGGTGCCGCCTACTGGGGTCCAGCGAGCCCTGCTGCTGCTCCGGGCTGCTGTCCGGGGTGACCACAGCAGCCCGGACTGCTGTCTGTTTATCTTCTAAAACGACAAAAGCTCAATGATAACCACTGTCTGCTGGAACAGAAGAAAACTATCCTTCACAATCACACCATCAATACATTTTAGAGTGTTTTTTTTTTCTTTTCTGTTGAGTATATTTCAATAAGAGCTAGCTGCAAAATAAAATTGTTTAGTAAGAGACTAATAACATAGCAATAAACTACATCCAAGTACAAACAAGGTAATTGCATCTGGTAACCTATCAGGTTTACTTCTCGGTCTGCTCACTCAGGCTCATCTAGCCTACACAAAAAGTGTAAATCAAAAATCCCATTGGTTTCTCCTCCCAGCTTCATACCGCTCTTATGACAATAGTTTCATTTACTCTGGATAAATTTAAATAGAAATGCGTTCTGTATTTAATCTACTTACGCATAAATTAGTTTTGTGCTCAAAAATAAATCAGAGCACCTATCGCTCTTTGTGTTTATCGCTGTGTGCCTTTCAGGTTAATTTTGTCCCTAATTCACTCTGCGCTTCTAACACAGTGGAGTGGGAAAACATGCAGACATATTTATCTACATACCCTACACCAAACCTCTCCACCCCCCACCGGTCACACACAGACCTCTCCTGTCCCGCTCCTGTCTCTCGTCCTGCAGCCAGCATGCTTTTCAAGGTGGAGTAGGATCGGCGCCGCGGCTCTGAGAAGTGTTTAAGGTGTTCAGCGATAAAACCTTTGGTCGCCTTCTCAGTCTTTGTACTTTTGTTGTGGAGAATTAAAGACTTCATTGTTGACTCGTTGTTCAGACCGCAAACAGACACTTATTGTTTTCATCTGTTTGATGTGTATGAGTTTGGGAGCGAATTATCACTGGTTTACTGTCTCCAAAGAGACCGGCAGATCACGGGGGAGAGGAGTTAGTAATTTAGATAATTTTAAGGCTGCTAGTTTGTAGATACCTTTTGTTGTCAGGCTACTTCTATTCTTTCATATTCTTTGCAAATAACATAATTTGGACAAATATTGAAACCTTTTTCGAGTTTCATTCATTCACAAACTTTATTTATAGTTTGTAAATCCCACTGAGACATTAGGTCTTAAGCTTTTGAAGATTTTTTTAAGCTTCATAGGAGTAAATTAATGCTTATTCTTGGTGGTACCAAATTTTCCTCTATTTTATGAGATCTTTGAAAAGATGACGTGTGATCAGTTGACTATGTCCCCTAACAACTGTGAACACTGACTCCATTACTGTTCAGAACTGACCTCCAGTAGAAAGCTGCATAGAATACACCACAACTGCAGATCTCTGATGATTTCTTTTTATTTTTAATGGGATTATATAGAATAGAATAAAATTTATTGATCCCCAACGTCATGTGGTGGTGAGTTTGTAATGGTGAGAATGAACACTGAGACCCAGATGATGCTGATGATTCAATAAAGAGAGTGCTCAAAACAGTCCGGTTCAGGCACCACGGCAGAACATTTAGCAACAGCTAAATACCGGTAGCAACTGAAAATACAAGACTGGAAACGAGAGCAGAGTCGACACAGGACTTAACAGTTCTACTGTGAGCAACACACAAACACACAAGGATCTGACAAAGAACAGAGACAACAGGTGGGCTTAAATACACAGGTAGTAATCAGGGGGACTAGACACACCTGGGAAACAATTAGGGAGCAGACAGGACAACCCAGAAACTCACAGGATCACAATAAACACAGAAAAAACCCAAAAATAAACAGAAAAAAAATCCTAACACCCAAGAGAAAATCAATTTTATTACAGTTGATCAATTTTCAAACTAATATTATTAAACCTTTAGCAGATTTTTGGAAATGACACAATATTAAAATAAAACTGGAAATAAATATTAAAAGATTCAGAGTTATTCAACAAATGTTCTTTTCATAATTTCAGTCTAAAGACAAACAGTACAGCCTAACCTACAGGCAGAGATGGAAAATGTCAGTTTACTGTGTAGCACTAAATGTTGTGGATTTTATTAGAATATGTTTATTTCAGTTGTTTGAGATTTAACCTGACCTACTCCTCAAATTCTTGAGACTTCACCTGGACATCCCTGGTACATGTGGGTCTCCCAGTGATTTATGCATTCTAATCTAGTTCTGAAACATACATAAGGTTACCACTGGAATGGATGTTCATGTGTGATGTCTGTGTGTGTCAGAGATGTTCAGCTTTTTCCAAGTCAAGCCCAGTCTTAAGACTGTAAGATGATCAGTCATTGTGTTGAATGAGTGTCAAACGTCTCATTGAACGGAACAGGATGTGCTTTTGATATCTAGAGGAGGTTAGGGGTGTAAGTTACTTTTATTTGTGCTGAAATTATCCAGTCATTAGTTACACAGCATTCACTTCAGGAGACATCCATGGTCATTACTAATAAGATAAAAACTGTGACTAAGACTTGAATTTTAGACTAATACTGTACTTACTCTATACAGTAAAATTTGTATTTATATGTTAAAGTTCTGGCAACCACAGCTGCTGGCATTTTACCATAAATTAGAGACTTTAGAGACATTTTTTTTCTACAGGACTCCAAGTGAAGTCTCTTGTCTTTGGGGCAAAAGTCAAAGTAGAGTCTGATGTCTTTTACAAATTAAGTACGACTTGAGGCTGAGTCTCAAACTTACTCTGAAGTGCATGGGATGGAATGTCGTCACAGACCAGTGACGATATTCCCCTCATTCAACACCCTATTTAAAGGAATGGTTCATTAGCAGGTATCTGCTATGTGTGACATGCTGAGAGGGTTATTCAGTCATTTTAGCAAAATGAGTTGGAAGAAGGGTATACTGGCTGGTGTGTTGCAGATTTTAGAATCTGCAACACACCAGCCATTAAGGACTTTTAACTGAACTTCACAGTAATAATAGTTAAGCAGCCACTCAAATTTTCAGAATCAGAATTTCTAAACCTCCAGTTGGCTTAAGTCAGATGCAGTACACCCTGTTTTTGTCTTTTAGTAAATTCACAACTACTTTGTTTAACCATGCCAAAATGATTTTTACAATTTGAACATGAACGTTTATCAATGTGCTCTGAAAATCTTTTAGGTCATGGAAAAAATCTTGGGAAGTTGTTGCTTATAGTTCTGTTCTCTGTAAGTGATCACGCAGTCTCACTCTACTTCATTAAATCCATGTTTGTAGAATGATGAACATGTTGCATCACTTTTCAATTCATATGTGAAACACATTGAATGTAACTATGCAACACGTGTTGCTAATAAGTTCTGAGAATACTGGAAAAAAGTGTTTGTTGTCCCTGTGAGATGCACGCAATGCCTTTTAGAAATAAATATATCCCAAGCCTGGCCTGACTCCCTATATTTTAATGTATCATGGTGATTTCCACCAAAACCAGTATGGAGTGCTGCTAGGATGCACTGTAGAATTTCTCCAGTGGTAAGAAATTGAATCTCAGAGGTAAAAATGTAAAAAAAAATTGAGTCTCAGAGGTGAAAACACAACAACAACAACTACTACTACTAATAATAATAATAATAAAAACTTTGCTTAGTCTGTGGATTCATCGTGTGCTCTGCAGTACAGGGTTCTTCTCTCTGTGCTGCTGTGAAAAGCGTCATGTGCAATTAAGCTATTGTTCTGATGATGCTATACAGAAAGAAACTAGGGACAATATTTATTTGTATAAATACCTATTAGACTTAAGTGACAGGATTACATTTGATGAAATTGTTAGTTATTAGCTATTAGTTGTTTTAAAATATCTTATTTAAAAACTTTAAAAACTTAATTTTAAATACACTGCCTGGCCAAAACAAAAAAATTCACACGCTCTAATATTTGCTTGGACCGTCTTTAGCTTTGATTACAGCACACATCCAATGTGGCATTGTTTCGATAAGCTTCTGCAATGTAACAAGATTTATTTCTATCCAGTGTTGCATTAATTTTTCACCAAGATCTTGCATTGATGATGGTAGAGTCCGACCGCTACACAAAACCTTCTCCAGCACATCCCAAAGACTGTTAATGGGTCTGGACTCTGTTGTGGCCAATCTATGTGAAAATTATGTCTCATGCTCCCTGAACTATTCTTTCACAATTCGACCCCCATAAATCCTGGCACTACTTTCTTGAAATATGCCCCTCCCATCAGGGGTGATGGGAGGTCATTCAGTACATTCAGGTAGTCAGCTGACCTCCTTCTGCGAGGACATGCTGTTGCTGAACCTGGACCTGACCAACTGCAGTAACCCCAGATCGTATTGGCTCCAGTTAGCTTCATGATCAATGGTTTTCTTAAAGCTATAGACCCGTTCAGTCCCAGTCCCTGTGTAAATGTTTTTACTTTCACTATCAAACATAGGCTGGAGTTCTACAGTTGTTTTTCTTCAAATTGATTTCACCAAACATTTAAGTGATCGCCAATCCTGAATGACAATCATTCAGGATTTTTTTCCAGCCACATTTCTTCCTTGAAGACAATTGGTCTCTATTACCCTTACAGTTTTTAATAATGCGTTGGACAGTTCTTAACCCAGTTTCAGTAGTTTCAGAAATCTCCTTAGATGTTTTCTCTGCTTGATGCATACCAATGATTTGACCCTTCTCAAACAGACTTACAGCTCTTCCATATCTTTAGACATGGTTGTTTAAGAAATGAGAAGCAACTGATTGCACCAGTTG